CTAATTGTTTGTATTTTAGTAGAGATGAGGTTTCACCATGTTGGCCAGGCTGGTCTCCAACTCCTGGCCTCAGGTGATCTGCCTGCCTCGGCCTCCCAAAGTGCTAGGATTGCAGGTGTGAGTCACTGTGCCCAGCCCAGTAAATCTCTCTTAAGCATCTATTGTGTGCAGGTGCTACCAGATACTCAGATACAGCAGTGAACAAGCTGGACACACTTCCAGGACGAACAGAGCTCACAATTCAACTTTTTGTGATGTGATAGTGTGCTCACACTCTGCATGATTTCTTTCTCTCTTCCACCCCTTCTAGGCTGGGAACTGCTTGAGGGCAAGGTCCAAGCCTTGTTCATCTCTGACCCCCCGTGTTATATAGTGAGCACCGGGGTCACTTATTAGCATGGTCTCAAGATACATGTGCTGAACTGCTAAGCCAATTCATTTACTTTACAAATGAAAAATATGAGATCGACAGAAGCTTAAGAACATAGACAGAAAGCTTAAGAACACTACCAGAAAGATGGTAGTGGTGTTGGAATGAGAATCCAGCATCTTGTGTTAAGGCCCTTTCCCTTAGTAGGCTGCCTCTGGCTGTGGTAAATTCCAGAATATAATTTATAAATGTTCCTATCTACTGTCCCATCCCACTTTCTACAGTGACATGCGAAATAAAGTGGCAGGTTAGAGTCTGACCTCACATTTCTGTTTGAATCTTTTCCACTATGGATTTTAAAAGGATCTGAAGGGGTATTCTCTAAAATTCTAAGCATTCTGTCCATCCTCATGCTGAAACCTGACTTGGTGAGTGACACTTCAAAAAGAAAAGAAACGTGAGTCTCAACCCATTACTACCTTATTTCCTCCAGATCATTTCCTCACAGGCAGGTCAGCCACGTCAGTGAGCCCACTCAGATGTCCTAGTTTCTACCCCTTGGAAACTTTGTCTCTACATTCCATTTCGGGAGAGCTGGTTCTTCCCGGAGACTTGACAACCTGGTACCGTCTCCTCCCACCATCACCCTCCCATTCTTCTGGCTTATCTCTGGTGTCAGAGAAGAATGTAATCTTTAGGCTTGTACATTCTGACTCCCGTATTTTGGGGAAAACCTCTCAGCATAGCTGACTGGCATCTGGAGGGCAGGGCAGGGCAGGGGCAGCTGGTCGAGCAGTCACCTGTCACCTGGGTCAGCCCTCATCACCCCATTGCAGGCTGCAAGAGTTGTAAAGAGAGCTGGACAGGACCCACTTAGAAGATACCAATTCTGAGTCTCTGGGGCAGTCTGTGTTGGGAGTATTTATTCCTGGAGTTCTGGGGGTAAGATGGGAACAGCTGGAGTCAGAGCCCTTGAAACTGCTCAGTGGCTTGATGCTTACCAGGTGTGTTTACTTAGCCATACCTTCAGGGAAAGACTCACATTGCTAATATCAGGGCAGGTGAGACCTGGTCAGCTGTGCAAATAAGCCCAGAGCCAGAGTGGAACAGTGAGAATTAGATCACCCTTCGTTTTCACCGGGTAATTAGGAACTCAACACTGTGTGACCTCAGACAAGCCAATTTCCCCCTCTGGGGCTCATTTTCTCCTAAAGTGGACAAGGAGGGATGGGACCAGACAAGTTCTAAAGTTCCTTCTAAGGCCAAAGATCCATGACTCTGATTTTTATCTAAATCCATAAAAGTGTGGCCAAGTATATAATTACTGGCTCTTTCCCGCCCTCCCTCCCCGCCAACCAGCTGCTATAGGTTTACTGTCAGTCTAACCTTGTAATCTTCTTCCAAGAGATTTTTTTTCTCTCAAAGATCCTAACAGTGTAGGGAATCTGAATTGGAAGGTTTTCTGGGACTCAGTTTTCTTCCTCCACTTCTGCTTACTCCTCCGTCTCAACTCTCACCTTCGCCCTTCTCAATGCTGGGATGCTGGAAGACTTGAGCTGCGAATTTCAGGAACTTGAATTTGATTTTTACTGTTTTGAGTCCTGCCCCAACCACTGCTGGGCGCTGTGGAGAACACCATGATCCTCCATGTACACTGTCGTGCCTTTTCCCATTCATTGGTCAGAACATTTCTCCTGTGTGCCAGACGCCACCCCAGGCACTGGGGCTAGGAAATAAATCACGTGACCCAGTTATCAGGAAGTTGAGTCCTAAATTACAGGAGAGCCACGTCACTCTGCTTGATGGCAGGTAGCCAATGTTCCCTAGGAAAAAACACCAAGGCAGGCACTTAATTTGCTTGGGGGCATCTGCTTGGGTGAAATCTTGAAGGGTGCTCTAGCAGGTGCTGTCAGTGCCCTGCCTGTCCCCTTAGCCCTCTGTGGAGTTGCTTGATCTGTGTGCCAGGAAGTTAAAGCCACAGGAAGAACCCTCCAACCAACAAAAAGCAGAAGCTGGCGGAAAGATATCCCCTCTTCCTTGCCACTTGATGGAACAATCCTGAGGTATGCTCTGTACGGTCTCGCAGAGGCCCCCAGCAAGATGGAGCCCCAGTAGTCCACAGCAGTCTCTGCTCATCAACACATCATTAGCACCTTTCCTTCCCTGTCTCACATCCTTATTCCATCTGCGTACTCCTTGAGATGGCCTCCCAAATAAATTACCTGCATGGCACCTGGGTCTGTATCTTAGGGTCTCCTTTCAAGGGGACCCACACTAGTAATCAAATAAATTAGCTGAAATGGAGACTAAGGCAATCTAGGGGGGCATCCAGGCAGAGGAAAAGCTACAGTAAAGCCATGGAGGGCAAGCATGGCACAGCACTTGGTGCGGCAATTGAAGGATGCATATTTGTTGGTTCCAGGATTGTGATGCAAGACCTTAGCATTCTTCTCTGGAGAGGACAAACACTTTAGTCCTCTTGTCCTGATCTCCAAGAAGTGCTAGAAGAGGAGAAAAGGCTGGAAAAGACGGCTGAGCTTCTCTGAGAGGTGCGTGGTGGACCCTACCCAGTCATCCTCCTCAGTCTTGGGCCCACAGTGACCCAAGAAGTCAGCTCTGTGTATTTTGAGAATGAGCTGCTCAACTATGGAGGAAAATTTCCCAGTGTGTTGCCTTCTCACACAATTTGGGTCTAAGTATTTGGAAAAGATTCTCTTGTGCTTAAGGGCATATTATAGTATCAGATGCTGAGGTCTATGGACGGCAATATAAGACAGTGGTTTGGCTGGGCACGGTGGTTCGTGCCTATAATCCCAGCACTTTGGGAGGCCAAGGTGGGTGGATCACTTGAGGCCAGGAGTTCAAGACCAGCCTGGTCAGCATAGTGAACTCCTGTCTCTACTAAAAATACCCTCCAAAAATTAGGCAGGCATGATGACACACGCCTGCAATCCCAGCTACTTGGGAGGCTGAGGCATGAGAATCGGTTGAACCTGGGAGGTGGAGGTTGCAGTGAGCCACGACTGTGCCACTGCAGTCCAGCCTGGGTGACAGAGGGAGACTGTCTCAAAAAGAAAAAAAAATAAAGAAAGTGGTTAAATCACATAGCTCACTCCATATGTTCTCCAGAATCTAGAGCAAACCTTTGTGAGCCTCAGTTTCTTCACCTGTAATATAAGTATAATAGTAAGTACCTGGGGAGGATTAGATGAGACCATGCATATGGCATTAGGCTCTGACTATAGTAAGTGCTCAATTTTTAAAAAGGGGATGATGATGCACACAGAGGGTACTACCCACTGAGGCAAGGTCAACCCTCTGTCCCAGAAAGACCGATAAGCAAACCCTGCCATGCAGGCTCTGCCATCAGCCTCCCCAGCTCAGAAGCTGAACGGGACAGCCTGCCAAGGATGTGTGTGCTAGGGTTGGATACAACCAGGGCAACAGGGCAGTCCAGAGGGCCAACCTCAGGTCAGCCTGGCCAGGCCAGGCCCTTGCCACCACTGGCAAACTGGCCAGCAAGCAGCAATGGCAAGAAGTTGGCTCAGAGGGCCTGGGCCACACAGGATGGGCCACTCCAGGCAACCACAGGATGATGCCTTCAGGGGGATTCCTCAGCCAGGGCCACTCCAGAACCCTCGCCTATTGGTACACAGAGGAGTAGCACCCCGACATGGCTCCCCAAGGTCCTGTTTCATAGGCCTCCGTGGTGAACCAGCTTCCTTCCTCCTCAGGGTCTCTGTTCAATCCAGGCATGTTTCCATGGATTAGGCTCCCTCTCATCTGGGAAAGCCCTGCCTGGACTCCCCACACCCCTGCTGACCTCAGCGTGGTCAGTCGCCTCACATGGGTGGACCTAGCTGGTTTAACTCTGAGGGAAACATGGTGTTCTAATTCTTTTTGTTTGTTTGATAGAGACAAGGTCTTGCTATGTCGCCCTGACCTGTCTTGAACTCCTGCCCTCCTGCCTCAGTCTCCCAACATGCTGGGATTACAGGCGTAAGCCACCATGCCTGGCTTAATGTTTTAATTCTTGGGCATGGAGCTCTCCATGCAAAGGCAAAGAGGAAGCAGGCTGCCCACTGGTCTGCATGCTGACTCCACCTCTAAGTTGAACCCACTTCTTCCTGACTTCTTCCCACCTGGCCTCCTGTGTCTCCATGGCATGTATTTCTACCTCTGGGGCCGGGGCCCAGGCTCCCTGGGAGGTGACTGCATGAGCCTCAGGCTGGGGAGCACACAGCGGCCTCTGCCTGCCCTGCTCGGGCAGAGGAGCAATGCTTCTGAGCAGCAGGGTCCTAGCTGGCACTGAGACCAAAGGATCTTCTTCAGGCTGTGGCTGGAGAAGGCCTCAATGGAGATCCTCAGGAACTTCCAATTAACCTATCAACCCTAATAGGCAAGTTTCTGAGGTATCCTGGAGTTCCTCAGGGCTGTCCAGATAAGGAATGACAGGAGGAAAAATACGTAAAGTTCTGGTCTCAGTGTCTATCACACAAAGCTGCGGCTCATTAACCCTGATGAACTCTCAGACCGGGCTAGGCGGGATTGGGGGAGGATGCAGATCGAAGGCCCTCAGAGGAAATGACCAGGCTCTGCCTTGGGACTTTGGGGGAGAGAAGTGCTGTCTGCTCTAAACAAAAGCGCTCTAAACAAAGCTCACTCAAGCATCACATCTTCGGGAGACCTGGGGCTGGTAATCAGGACCCAACCTCCCAGGCATGGAGCGGGAATGTTCTTTCTGCGTTTCCGCCCTCTGTTTATTCTCACTCCTTGTGAGAGACAAACGTCCACATTGTCACTGAGCGGGCTCCCAGAGCCACCAAGCAGACTGTCCGTGGGGCCTCTTGGGTCTGGTTTGAGCCTGCTCCTGCCCCAGACCCTTCTGAGGATCCTCTCTCCTGCCACTTTTTCCTGGAAATCCCTGCAAGCTTCCTCTAGACTCGGATGCCTTCCCTCTGGGAGAAGTGGCTTGCTCCCCTCGCTAGCTCACCATTTAGCCTCCAGCCAGCCCGGGAAATGGGAGCCACGAGCAGGAAGGATCAAATTCCTGAGAGGTGACAGCGCTGCTCTGCCTCACTGCACTCCACTAGCCCTCATCGCTGACTCCTTTCATTTCTCCAGCCTGGGAAAGGTGGTGTTCAGAGAGGTGAAGATGGGGAGGGCTAGGGGGAGGTGCCAGGCCTGGAAAGGGGCAGGCGTGGGCCCTAGTGGGAGAGGAGGAAGCTGAGCAATGAAGGTGTTGGCTAAAAACAACAGTGTCTTGATGGGAAAGGAGGAGCGATGGGAAAGACTGGAGTGTCTCAGGCCCTCTCAGTGGATGGGTGTTGTGGGAGAGAGGAGGCTGGGAGACAGGTCTCCCTCTGGAGTTCAGAGCTGAGTTGCTGTCCAAATCAGTGGTCCTTGGAATCTATAAAACAAAACTGAGGACTTCAGAGGTGCATCCAGAGGAGCCACACTCCAAAAGGACCACTTCCAGGTAAGCATGACACACTGCTGGATGCACACGCTCCTGGCTTCAGGTTCCAGGATCTTTCTCACTGCCTTCATCCCCAGCTAGCAATAGGGAGACCCTTCGCCTGGCCCCTGCGTGGTGGCTGGGAGATCTACTGGTCAGCACAGAGAGCTGGGAAAGGAATACACATCTGCAGTCATGAGGGATATTGAGCAGTGACCTCATGGCCAGGGCCTGGTTAACAGTATCTTTGCCACTCCCAAGCTAGCCCATGGCCGCTGGATCTTCCTCCGCTTGATCTCCTAGCTGACCTGTGCAACCCTAAGTACTCCAGAAATTCCACAACTAGCAGCTCTCAGCCATCTGTCCTGGGCAGGGCTAATACTGGGGGCTCTGGTTTTGTTGGAACCTACATGGGACCAGGAAATGTTTGACTCCAGGGTTCACAGGGCTTTGTTCTTCTGCTGAAGGCAACCCCGGGCATGCTCCCAAGAAATGGACTCCAGGACTTATTTTAGGCAAACTAGGATTCCCCTGTGGCTGGGCAGGTCTAACGGGGAAAAGCGGGGTAACCGAGAGTCGTGGAACTGACAAAATCTTCCTAGAGTACATGTTTCTATCCCAGCAGAGGTTCTTCCTAACTGAGGGCATTCACGTTTATGGAGCAGTGACTGTTTACCTGGGGAGAGTTTGCAGCAATAAAGGGGACATCCCTTTCCTGTAGAAGCTCACAGGATAGGGGCACATAAACGGAGGGAGTTATTGAGAGATTCAGGCCCAGACTGGACAGATGAGGAAGGCGTCCCTCTCACAAGAAGAGGGAAAGGCGTCCCTGAGGGGAGGAAGAACAGGGGGTACCACGGTGCTCCTGGGGGAGACGATAGGGCAAAAGCAGATAGGGGCGAGGTCACTGCACACCAGGCGACTCTGGGAACGTCTCCCTGCCCTTCAGGGAACATCCAGGACCTGTGCGTCTCCTCAGAGCCCTGCAGGTGGGTTTGGGACGCGCATCTGCCCCTTTGTTCGGAGGTTCCTGTGGATTTGATGGGCATCCTGCTGTTCTCTCTCCAGACGCCATGCGGCAAACCCTGCTGCTGCTGCTGCTGATGGTGCTGCGCCCTAGCTGGGCAGATCTTCTCCAGAAGGTCCCGCTCTTCCGGGTCACTCAGCAGGGCCCCTGGGGGAGCAGTGGCAGCAATGCCACCGACTCGCCCTGCGAGGGGCTGCCCGCCGCGGGTGCGACGGCCTTGACCCTGGCAAACCGCAACCTGGAGCGCCTGCCCGGCTGCCTACCGCGCACACTGCGCAGCCTCAACGCCAGCCACAACCTGCTGCGCGCACTGAGCGCATCCGAACTTGGCCACCTGGAGCAGCTGCAGGTGCTGACCCTGAGCCACAACCGCATCGCCGAGCTGCGCTGGGGCCCGGGCGGGCCGGCGGGGCTGCACACCCTGGACCTCAACTACAACCAGCTGGCCGCTCTGACGCCGTGTGCCGGTCCCGCACTGAGCAGCCTCCGCGCCCTGGCGCTCGCCGGGAATCCGCTGCAGGCGCTACAGCCCCGGGCCTTCGCCTGCTTCCCCGCGCTGCAGCTCCTCAACCTCTCCTGCACCGCGCTGGGTCGCGGCGCACAGTGGGGCATCGCCGAGGCGGCGTTCGCTGGAGAGGATGGCGCGCCTCTGGCCACGCTCGAAGTCCTGGATCTCAGCGGCACGTTCCTCGAGCGGGGTGAGTCCGGGCGCCCCGCGTTTTCAGCAGACCTGAGCGCAGAGCCAGGCTGCGCGTGCGCTCCTGAGGGCAGGGCTGCATTCTTCCTCGAGAGGTGACCCAGGTGCCCAGCTCGCAGCAGGGTTCAAAAAAACACCAGCTACATTTTTCGAGCAAGCGGGCCCAGTTTGAAGCTCCACACAGGAGTCACTTTCTTGAATCCTAAGAGATGGGAACTGTTACCATCTCCGTTTTACATACGAAGGAACCAAAGCACAGAAAGGTGAAACTTGGTCACACATTAAGCAAATCTGAACTCAGGCATTCTGGGTCCAGAGCCCAAAACTTTAACCACTCTGTTCTACTGCTTCCCAGCATGACTGGATAAGTGTTTGTGGAATGGGGAAGTGAGTGCATGCTTTGGGGCTGATGAATGGAAAAAACTGAGCCGCAAATATGCAGTTAGCTGAAGTGACTGAGGCTTCCAGGATGAATTCACTGATTTCTCTACCTGGTTGGGCAAAATAGTTTCTGTGAATGTTGAATCACTCAAACAAGCCACAGGAGAGTGGCGAGGATAACCGGTCTCCTGTTCCTGGTGTTCTTTGATTCACAAGGTTGGTTTTACTATTTTTTAAAAAACACTTCACGTGTCTCCAACCACCTGTTTCATCAAAGACAAAGAGGAAAAACAGCTAGAATGGGGAATACCAAAGGGAAGGGGCACGTTCTCCATGTATCGGGAGAGCCACAAAATTAGGTTTCTGGGGCCGCCTTGCCTCCTTAATTACATTCCACAGAAGTTCCCCACTCCTGACAGACATCAGAGCAAAGTCTGGTTATTTTTTGTGTGGACTTTAATGAGAAGGTGAGGCAGCAACAGACTTGGAGACAGTGTCCTGGGTTCAAGCCTTGTCTCTGCCCCTTTCCAGCTATATGGCCTTAGGCCAATCAATCCTCTCTCTGGCCTTGGCCGACTCAGATTGGAAGAAAGGAAGGACTGGTTATCCCCGAGCACCCTTCCAGCTCAAATGACCACAATTCTGAGATTCCCAGAGCTGCTAACTGTGCCCATGCCCAGCAATGACCTTCACCATTCACCTTGCCACTCTCGTTCTTTCCTTCATGCCGTGCTGGCCTCCTGGGTTGGTGCGTTCTGGAGTGGTGGGCAGTTTCCCTTCTGTGTTTCAGTTGAGTCAGGGTGGATCAGAGACCTGCCGAAGCTCACATCCCTCTACCTGAGGAAGATGCCTCAGCTGATGACCCTGGAGGGAGACATTTTCAAGATGACTCCCAACTTGCAGCAGCTGGACTGTCAGGACTCCCCAGCACTTGCTTCTGTCGCCACGCACATCTTTCAAGACACTCCACATCTACAGGTCCTTCTGTTCCAGAAGTAAGTGCTGCTGAGGCACATCTGAATCATGTGACTGATTTTTGCCCATTACGCTATGTTGAATTTTATAGAACAAACCAGACCATAATTTTTCTTCCACTGCTCTTCCGAATCTTCTCTGGGGCTTGGTTTTCCCCCACCCTTTGGGTGATATCTTGGGTAGGTCCCAGATAGTCCACCCACCCATCTAACCTTGCAACTCAGTCCGGTTCAGAGTAGTATTAGAATGCCAAACTCCTATGCCTTTAAAGTTTATTTTAAGCCCACACTTAGAAATGTACAGTGGGAAGAGGTGAGGAGGACCTCGGGTCTACTCTCTATCTGGATCTGCTTTCTTCCCCACATGTCATGCAAGTTCAGTCCCTTCCAGAATTTGAGTGGGTCTGGGGATGAAAGTATTGATATTGTTAGAAAATCCCTTGGAAGTCTAGGGGCAGGCCCTGTTAGTCCTGTTTTACTCAATGCAGTCACTAAAGATGGAATTATTCTTCTAAAAGGATGAACAACTTTTCAAAGCAAAGGCAGAACCATTCACTCATTCTTTCCTTTATTCAATAAATAGCTATTGAGCACACAATGTTGTGAGGGGAAATGCTTTGTATCTCTGGCTCAGACTCCTTTGAGTTCGATAAAAACCCAAGAACTGTGTAAAATGCCAGGATACAAATATCAAGTAGTTTCTTTATCTGTAAAATAGAGCTATGACAATAAAACCTCGCTTTGGGGTTTTTCATGAGAAAAAAGCATATGGTTTATGTAGACCACTTAGCTCAGTGCCTGGCTTATGGTATTTGTCCTCTAAAATTAGCGAAGATGATGGTGGTGGTGATAATGGAGATGCTGATGGTGATGACAGTGATGGTGATGGTGTTGATGCTGATTGATGTCAGTGATGGGGATGACATTGGTAGTGATGGTGATGGTGATGATGATGGGTGATGGTGCTAATTATAATGGTGAGGATAGTGATGATTGTATGATAAAATAGTGGTGGTGAGGCCAGGCATGATGGCTCATGCCTGTAACCCCAGCACGTTGGGAGGCCGAGGTGGGTGGATCACCTGAGGTCAGGAGTTCGAGACCAGCCTGGCCAACATGGTGAAACCCCATCTCTACTAAAAGAAATACAAAATTAGCCGGGCGTGGTGGCACGTGCCTGTAGTCCCAGCTACTTGGGAGGCTGAGGCAGGATAATCGCTTGAATCTGGGAAGTGGAGGTTGCAGTGAGCTGAGATTGCACCATTGCACTCCAGCCTGGGCTTGGCCTTGTGATTTGCTTGGGCCAGTGGGTCATTAGCAAATGTGATGTAAGAAGCTAGGAAAGCAATTGAGCACTGAGACCCGCCCTCTCCTGCTGTTGGGGATCCCTCCACTACCATGTGGATAAGCCCAGGTTAGCCTCCTGGGTGATGACAGACACATGGAGAGCAGTCCCAGCACACCTGGTTGAGCCTTATCCATGAGGCCATCCCAGATCGTCTGGCCCCAGCTGAGCTAATCCAGACCACAAGAACCACTGAGCTAACCCACAGAATCATGCCAAAGAATAAATATTTATTGTTTTAAGTTACTAAGTTTGGGAGTTATTCTCTACTTATCAAGAGTTCACTGATGCACTTAAATGAGGCATCTTCCAAAGGACTGGCGTTGAGTGTCACCAGCCATAGTGCAATAACACTGGTCCATAATAACAATATCTGCTTGTATTTAGAGATTTGCATTTACAAACACTTTTATCATCATGTACTCTTTTTTGTTTCTGTTTGTTTGTTTGTTTTGTTTTGTTTTTTGAGACAGGGTCTCACTCTCCTGCCTATCCTGGAGGGTAGTGGTGTGATCTTGGCTCACCGCAACCTCTGCCTCCCAGGCTCAAGTGATTCTCCTGCCTCAGCCTCCCGAGTAGCTGGGATTATAGGTCCACCACTACTGCCCGACTAATTTTTGTATTTGTAGTACAGACAGAGTTTCACCATGTTGGCCAGGCTGGTCTCGAACTCCTAACCTCAAACAATCCACCTGCCTCGGTCTCCCAAAGTGCTGGGATTATAGGTGTGAGCCACCGTGCCCAGCCAACACACACTCTTTGATACAACCATCGGTCATGGGAATATTGTCCCCAGTTGATATGAAGTATAATATTTCCTGTTAGGTTGGTATCTCCGTTTTACAACAGAGGACAAAAAATGAAGTTTGAGGTCATTAAGAGTTTTGCCCAAAGCAGTATTCTCCAACCCCTATCAGAATGCTTCTGATACCATGGGCATGGTTCTGACACCATGCCTCTCTGGGAATATCTTTGATCCAATTGTAAAAACCTGACTTAATTCATTTTTTGTGTGTGTATTTCAGCTGCAACTTGAGTTCCTTCCCTGCTTGGACTCTGGATTCCTCCCAGGTCCTATCGATCAACCTTTTTGGCAACCCCCTCACTTGTAGCTGTGACTTGTCTTGGCTCCTCATGGATGCAAAGAGAACTGTCCTAAGCAGGTAACACATTTACAAAGCATATGGCTGAGGGGTGAGGCTCGGCCTTCAGGAGCTGAAGTTCTCCAGCTTAAATCTTGCTCACGTGACTGTGCTTGGTACTTTGGCCATGTTGGGCTGGGCAGCCTTCCCCATGTAGTCACACTCAGGGATCCAGGTGATGGAAGCTACCTCCATTCCAGCCAGCCAGAAGGGGCAAAGAACATGGAGGAGCAGACATGGGAAGTTTTTAGTGAGCCAGGCTGGGAGGTGATACTCCTCACTTCCACTCACATTCATTGGCCAGGAGCCACACCTACCTGCAAGGGAGGCTGGGAAGCATGGTCTGGTTTAACCACTGGGTTCTACTGAATCCGCAAGATGGAACCTAGCCTCTGCTCCCGGGTTATCCAGTCCTAGGCCCATGGGCTTACAGAGCTCTTCTGGGAAATTCCTATGAAGGCTATTGGCTAGAAGAGCTGTTTTTGCAGTGGGGAGCCACATTTAGGCTGGCCACCAGGAGACAGTGGGAGCTGGGGGGCTGGGAACACCCCCAGTCTTGAGCACTTTCAAACCAGTTCCACCAGGTAAACACTACACCTTGGGAGGCAACCCTCCATCACCACCATTCTGCAGAATTATTTCTGTTTGTTTGGAGACAGGGTCTTGCTCTTTTGTCCAGGCTGGAGTGCAGTGGTGCGATCATGTCTCATTACAGCCTCAACCTCGTGGGCTCAGCGATCATTCTACCTCAGCTTCTAGAGTAGCTGGGACCCCAGGTGCAAGCCACCACACCAGGCTAATTTTTTAAAATCTTTTTGTAGAGATGGAGTCTCATCATGTTACCCAGGCTGGTCTCAAACTCCCAGACTCAAGGGATCCTCCCATCTGGGCCTCCCAAAGAGTTGGGATTCCAGGCGTGAACCACCATGCCCAGCCAATATTCTTTTCTCATCTCCCACCTAAGCTGAGCTGTGAAGTGGGGCTCGGTCTGCCCCCCAACCCCACATTCCCTCCAAAGAAAAGCACCTAGGCCCTTTGCAGTCGAGGGTCTCATCATGGTATTAATGATGAAGCTGAGAGTACAGGCTCTGAAGCCAGAGAGTCCAGCTTCATCCTACTTACTACTATTTTATTACTTTTTTTTTAGAGACAAGGTCTTGCTCTGTAACCCAAGCTGGAGTGCAGTGGCATGATCACGGCTCACTGCAGCCTCAGACTCCTGGGCTCAAGCAATCCTCCTGCCTCACCCTCCCAAGTAGCTGGGACCACAGCCATGCACCACCATACCTGGCTAAGTTTTTGTTTGTTTGTTTTGTTTTGTTTGTTTTGGTAGAGACGAGGTCTCACTATGTTGACCAGGCTGGTCTCCAACTCCTAGCCTCAAGTAATCCTCCTACCTGGGCCTCCCAAAGTGTTGGGACTCCAGGCATGAGCCACTGTACCTGGCCTACTTACTACTGTTGATTTGAGCTGAGTTATTTCATCTCTCTGAGTTACTTCGGCCTCTACCTTCTCATCTGTAAAATGGGGTAATAGAGTCTACTGCATAAGTAGTGCAGACTAAATTAGTTGACACAGTAGAGTGTGAAGAATAGCCCCTAGCACGTGGGAAGCATCAGAAATGGTAGCTAGTATGAGTACTTTTTTTTTTTTTTGAGACAGTCTCCCTCTGTTGCCAAGGCTGGAGTGCAGTGGCACAATCTCTGCTCACTGCAACCTCCGCCTCCCAGGTTCAAGCAATTCTCCTGCCTCAGCCTCCAGAGTAGCTGGGACTACAGACATCCGCCACCATGCCCGGCTAATTTTTGTATTTTTAGTAGAGACGGGGTTTCACCTTGTTAGCCAGGATGGTCTCGATCTCCTGACCTTGCGATCCGCCCACCTCAGCCTCCCAAAGTGCTGAGATTACAAGCCTGAGCCACCACACCAGGCCCGAATGTTTTTGTTGTTGTTGTTGTTGTTGTTTTAGACGGAGTCTCGCTCTATCACCCAGGCTGGAGTGCAGTGGTGTGATCTTGGCTCACTGCAAGCTCTGCCTCCCGGGTTCACGCCATTCTCCTGCCTCAGCCTCCTGAGTAGCTGGGACTACAGGTGCCCGCCACCACGCTTGGCTAATTTTTTGTATTTTTAGTAGAGATAGGGTTTCACTGTGTTAGCCAGGATAGTCTCGGTCTCCTGACCTCGTGATCCACCTGCCTCGGCCTCCCAAAGTGCTGGGATTACAGGCGTGAGCCACTGCGCCCGGCCGACTATGGTTTTTATTACTAGTGCTCTCTTGCCAGGAAGCAGACAGGTGAGAACAAAATGGCAAATGACAGTCAGAGAATCTGGACTCCTTCTCACAGTGCTTGCCCGGGGATAGGCTCTGCTATTGCTAGCTATGGTGTCTTGGCCAATTAGTTCCTCCTTCTAAACTTCCGTTTGCTTCTCTGCCCAATGGGAGTGAGGACAGCAGCTTCCTCCAAAGTTTCCCCAGAATCAATTAGGTGATGTGTGCAGCGTGTGTGCCCTGGGGTGTCTGGCAGAGATGCGTTGATGGGCTTGGTAGGGGGTGACGTTGGCAGTGAGGATTCAAAGCTCTGCCCAGAAGCGTCCCTAAAGCCAGACGTCTTCTAACTGGTTGGCCTCCCCTCCAGGGCAGCAGACACTGTGTGCACGCCAGCTGCGGGATCCAGTGGCACCTTCTCAGCCTCCCTGTCACTCTCCCAGCTGCCCGGAGTGTGCCAGTCGGACCAAAGCACTACTCTCCGAGCTTCACAACCACCCGGCTTCAACCACCCCACCTACGCACAGGGTCCCACCGTGGCGCCCAGCGCAGCCCCTGCCACCCGGCTTGCGGGAGGCCAGCAGAGTGTCTCCAAGGCCCCTAACGTGGGCTCCCGCACGAGAGCTGCATGGCCGCACAGCAATGCACAGGAGGGGACTGCCTCTTCCACGACCAACTCTGTAGCAGGTCACAGCAACTCCAGCGTTTTCCCCAGGGCTGCCAGCGCCACCGCATCCCAGCACAGAGGAGAACATGCCCCCGGGCTTGTCGTTGAGCCTAGTATCTCAGCTGCCTCCACTCCACTGGCGAGCAAGCTCCTGGACCCCTTCCCTACCTCGTGGAACCGCATAAGCTCGCCTCAGCCCGGCCAGAGGACACAGGCCACACCCCAAGCCCCCAACCCGAGTCCTTCTGAGGGCGGGATTCCAGTCTTGCTGCTGGACGACTACAGTGAGGAGGAGGAGGGGAGGAAGGAGGAGGTGGGAATGCCTCACCAGGACGTCCCCTGTGATTACCATCCCTGCAAGCACCTACAGACCCCGTGCGCTGAGCTGCAGAGGCAGTCGCGGTGCCGTTGCCCCGGCCTCAGCGGAGAAGACACCATCCCAGACCCGCCCAGGCTGCAGGGGGTGACGGAGACTACGGACACGTCGGCTCTGGTCCACTGGTGTGCCCCCAACTCGGTAGTGCACGGGTACCAGATCCGCTACTCTGCAGAGGGCTGGGCGGGGAACCAGTCAGTGGTGGGGGTCATCTACGCCACGGCCCGGCAGCACCCTCTGTACGGGCTGTCGCCGGGCACCACCTACCGCGTGTGCGTGCTGGCGGCCAACAGGGCAGGCCTGAGCCAGCCGCGGTCCTCGGGCTGGAGGAGCCCGTGCGCCGCCTTCACCACCAAGCCCAGCTTCGCGCTCCTGCTCTCCGGGCTGTGCGCAGCCAGCGGCCTGCTGCTCGCCAGCACCTTGGTGCTGTCCGCGTGTCTCTGCAGGCGGAGCCAGACGCTACGCCTGCAGCGCTGCGACACGCACCTAGTGGCCTGCAAAAACCCGGCCTTTGATTACCCGCTGGAGCTCCAGACCGTCAGTTAGCCCAGCTTCTGGGCAAACGCCTCTAACCGAACTGGATCTGAGCGCAGAAAGGTACAGAAGGTCAAAAACGACCCCATCTGCTCGTAGGGTTTCTAATTCCCGTGAAGCCAGAATGCCCTGGGCACACACGGAACTTGCCACACTGAGTGTCTCAGTCCAAGGAACAACTGCCCTCCCTTCCTTCTACTTTACTCTCTGTTCCCAGAAACCTGATGGTCAATGCCAGATCGCTCCCCACTGCCGTCAGGCCTTCTTGTGTGTGGTTTCGTTTGGGGTTTTCAGCAGTCGGTGCCCTTCTATACAGTAGAATAGTGCACGGAAGTAGGAAGGGATGAAACAGGGCAATTGCATAACCCAGCCTCTTGGATCGTTAGAAATCACATCCTCAGGTCTTTCCAGTGGAAGCTCCTTCATGGTCAAGCTCTAAGGCATAATGAGCTCTGTTATTCAAGAAATGAATTCCAGTGGATTTCCAGTTCCAATTCCTGAGAACCCGGGTTAGGGGAGAGCTGATTAATGGTTGCTTCGTGAGGCCTTCTGGGTTTATTAGTTCCATTTCAGGACATGACAAGAAAATACACTTCCCGCTTTACAGTTCAAACCAGTTTTCTGGGAACATTTGTCAAACACAGGGAAAAGCTGTCCTTTGAAGTTAGTGTTTACTGTATTTCACCTAAGACTAAGTGGACAAATGAATCATAAATTCATTTTTTAGGAAGCATAATAAACTTTGGAAATCTTTTTTCTTAATTAGAGGGGAGAAATGAGCTAAAGAGAACCCAAGACTCTAGCTAGAAGCCCAAGTGTTTCTCTGCCCTAATTGCATCAAACGATGCCTTAAAATCTGTCTTCATGTGGGAGGCATCTACTCTGCCCTCTACTTTTTCACTTTTATACAAACGCAGGGGAAACTCAGGGGAAAAAATGATTCTATGAAATTATAATTAGAGCCATATTTCTAGATTTTAATTTTCAACATTAGCATTTATTAATTTCCTGCAGCTGCCGTAACAAGTTGGTAAAACTGGCTTCAAAGAACATAAATTTATTTTCCTACAGTCCAAGTCAGAAATCCCAAATCAAAGCATCAGTGGAGTTGGTTCTTCTTGCAGGCTCCAAGGGAGTTGTTCCATCTTCTCTCCCAGCTTTGGATGGTTGGCAGCAATCCTCAGTATTCCTTAGCTTGCAGACATCATTCCAATCTATCCCTCTATCATCTCACGGCATTCTCTGTCTCTCTGTTCACATTTTCTTTTTTTTTAACAAAAAAACCTAGTTATTTGGTTAAGGCCCATTGTAATCCAGTATGACCTAATTCTAACTTGATTGCATCTAAAAAGACCCTATTTCCAAATAAGGTCACATGTACAGTACTGGGGGTTTGAATGTGAACATATCTTCCTTGGAAGATGCAATTCAACCCACAAGAGCATTTACTTCTACTGTAAGAAGAAAACAAATCAAGTTTAAATCCCATGTATCTTGTTTCCAAACCATGCTGCAGAAACTAAAACTGAATTGCACTATATATTTCTAGGTGTTTGAAGTTTTGAAAGAGCTTCCCAAAATTTTAAGGTAGATCCCTAGTTTCATCATAAATGTAACTAAGAGAATTGGATTAAATGGTTTCAAAGATCTCCACCAGCTCCTGGTTAAAAACTGCAAAGCTATGATGTGTGTGCTTGTAAAAAAAAAAAAAAAAAAAAAAATACACACACACACACGAAACTGCAAAGCACGGCTGGTGTGCACCTGTAATCCCAGCTACTCAGGAAACTGAGGTGAAAGGGTCACTTGGGCTCAGGAATGAGGCCCCTACTAAAATGCATTGCAAAAGCCCAAAATCTAATTAGTATAAAATCCTCAGACATGTACCTAAATGACACTAATGCTTTATTTTTAAGCTTACTGTCAAGGTTAAGCCTATTCTGTGAAGACACTGAAATGAATTTTCATCATGTTTTGAGTCTATAAACAAGTATGTACTCAGACATGTCTAAATACAATTCCAATGTTTTATAAACTGGCAGAATTGATGTGTTTTATAACAATTCAGTATCCAAAAGCCTGAGGAGACTTGGATCATTTCTCTAACGGTTGAAGTGGAAAAAGTTTATTAACGAGAGCCAGATTGAGACCTTAATAATAAAAAGATTATGGGTCCAAGCCCTAAGTCACTCCAAATGGCATCAACATTAAACCATAAATAAGCATAACAAGGTGCAAAGTTCTAAATTTTCCCATAGCTACTTCAAGTCCTCCCTTTTTAAAACATTATTCTTATGAGGCTCACCCATTACTAATGCAGAGACGCACTCAGTGTGCCTCTTGGGTAGTTCAGCAGTGGGAAGTCCACCTTCAGCCTTACTCCTAACAATGAAGCTGTTCTCCAGAGAGCAAGAATAGCCAGCCACATGCCCCCTTCTCTGCCTCTTCAACCCCCTCCATCTGATTCAATGGTGTTGTCCCTGGCTGCAGGCTTCAGTATGCTCCAAGCCAAGTGCAGCTCAGCCGCCGGTCTGAGAACAAAGAAGCCAGGACCAGCAAGCCACAGAGGGACACACTGGTGCAGAATGCCTGGCCAAGAGGCATGAGTTTTACTTATAGCCTCCCATTCTAATTTAATGCAGCTCAATAGGCTGAGAATGGATAATCTCACTGCAGTATTCTGTAATAGGCTTGGATTAAAACCAGGGACAATGGGCAACAACAGGCCTCTACTGTTAAGCAGCAACAACCGGTTACCCCTGGACTGTTGTCTTCTCTCATTCCCCATATCCCACATTCTCCTAAATATGATGTATTTGTAGCAAGACTCTTTTAAAGTCAGATGGTCAGACTAATTATTTTTACAATTTAAGTGTAAGTGACGTACATGAATGGACTTTGTGAACTGGAAAACTTACGTAACAGCAGAGAATAAGTATGTTACATGGAACAACCCGAGTTGAAGGTACAATTGTTTTTCCAGCTCTTTTATTCCTTTAACTTCTTAACAAAAGAAGAGTCTCCAAAGTTTAAAAAACCTTTGAAAAATATACAGCTTGATATTATTTACATAATACATGAATCCAGGTTCCAATATCAAACATTGCTATGTCAGAAACACAGTGGAAGGCAGGAATGTAACTCACTGCCTTTTAGACGCAAAGACTAATAGACATGTTGTCGTATCTCGACTATCTTTGTTACCTGTTATCCTCATACATAAATTATTAGGCACCTGAGAGGTTGGAAGACTACGGAAAATGAACTTCATACCTTCTATTCTGTTTGATTATTATCTTAAAAACTTACTGCATTTTAAATCTCTTTTATAACTTTACTTCATCTACAACTAACTTCACTTTCATTATCCCAAATGATCAGGTATTAACTACATGAACTGTTAATGTATACACAGACCTAAAAATCAAACAAAAATGTATTGCCCAGTTGTGTAGGATATATATTTGAACCCCACGACATTTCCTAGTGCTTTGTGAGTAATCCAAATTTCACTTAAGAGAGGTGTCAATTCTGCCCATGCTCTGGACTATGTTTGTAGAAAACATATAAAAAAGACTGACAATAATTGATCTCTTATAAATTAATCAAGAAACCTAAGATTAAAAATTCTAAATTATAGTTTTATTTGTATTTAAAAATACATTGGAAATTCTGCATATTCCCATGATCAACCTTATTTTCAATGCACATTACTTAAATTTTGATGACATGGTTGGTTCTGACAAGTCCTTTTTCAAGCTGAACACCAAAATAGGGGAACTCCTGTAGATTTCCACGGGCCCTGTTCCCATTGATGTATACTGCTTCCTTATTACCGGTGATAGATGGCTTTCATCAGTCTTTTATCACCTGAACAGTCTTCCGACCATAATGATAATAACTGTAAGCTGATGCAGCTGTGGTGAAAGCTGTAAAACACCTTTTATGGAAGAAAAGAAATAAAATTTAGTTGTCAAGTCTAAAAAACAGTAGCAATGGGAATCATAATGAATACATGCAAAAGATCTATTTAAAAAGCAAAAAGGCTGGGTGCAGTGGCTCACGCCTGTAATCCCAGCACTTTGGGAGGCCGAGGCGAGCGGATCACGAGGTCAGGAGATAGAGACCATCCTGGCTAATACGGTGAAACATCATCTCTACTAAAAAAATACAAAAAATTAGCCGGGCGTGGTGGCGGGTGCCTCTAGTCTCAGCTACACAGGAGGCTGAGGCAGGAGAATGGCATGAACCGGGAGGCGGAGCCTGCAGTCAGCTAAGATGTGCCACTGCACTCCAGCCTGGGCGACAGAGCGAGACTCCGTCTAAAAAAAAAGTAAAAAGGGCTCTGTGGTGTAATTTTTCTTAACTACAAGAGTCTAAATACACTGCTTTTCTTTAAGACTTCATTTTAATTAGTAATGTCAAACAAAATTATTCTAGGTAATGAGCCCTACAAATAAATACTACTAGCAACTGTCATTTTTTACTCAGGCATCCTCTAGGTGTCTTACATTCTCATTTTATTCTTACAACAAACTTATCCTCCAGAAGGGGGAAATGGAAGACCCGGAGAACTTGCTCAGGGCTTATCAAAGAACTATGTCTGAGCCTGACTTGGTTTCAACTCTAAAGCCCACATGCTCCTTCTACTGCTCCATGCTGCTCAGGGTACCAGACTCTATTTCCTGTAGCTTTTGAGAATTCTAAAGTTATCCGAGTAATTTTAAATAAATTTCAGCTTTCTTTACTAAATTACCCTTAACTGGATTCTCCTTGAAATGACATCAACTGACGCCCGTGGCATGCTGAATGCCCACAGCTAGGAGATTACTTTTTAGTGCACCCACGCACTTTTGCTTTTATTAGGTGAGGCAGAATCAAGATTCCCTTTTGTTGGATCTTGAATCTGTTCATGCCACTTTGATATACTAAATTCATAAACCAATGAAATCTATGTGTTAGAAAAATTGCTATTTCTAGCTGGATGCAGAGGCTCATGACTATAATCCTACCACTTTGGGAGCCTGAGGCAGGAGGATTGCTCGAAGCCAAGAGTTTGAGACCAGCTTGGGCAACAGAGTGAGACCCTGTTTCTACAAAAAATAATAATATAAAAAATTAGTGGCTGGGCGCAGTGGCTCACACCTGTAATCCTAGCACTTTGAGGCCGAGGCAGGTGGATCGAGGCCAGGAGTGCGAGACTGGCCTGACCAACATGGTGAAATCCTGCCTCTACTATATAAAAATTGGCCAGGTATGGTGGTGGGTGCCTGTAATCCCAGCTACTCAGGAAGTTGAGGCAGGAGAATGACTTGAACCCGTGAGGTAGAGGTTGCAGTGAGCTGAGATCAGGCCATTACACTCCAGCCTGGGCAACAGAGCGAGAACCCATCTCAAAAAAAAAAAGAAAAACAAAATTAATTAAATTTAAAAAAACCAAAATAGCTAGGTGTGGTGGCACATGCCTGTAATCCCAGTTACTCAGGAGGTTGAAGTGGGAGGATCGCTTGAGGCCAGCAATTCAAGGTTACTGTGAGCTATGATCATGCCACTGCACTACAGCCTGGGGACAGAGCAAGACCCTGTCTCAAAAAAAAAAAAAAAAAAATTTTTTTTTTTTAAAATTGCTATTTCTGAAAACTACATTGGATGCTTTATAAAAGACTCAATAAAGGTGACTTGATTAAAAAAAAAAAATACTGTCTCTGTTTTCATGGGTTCCTAGGGAAAAAAAGTACTGTCAAAATAAATAGGCAAGATGATTGTGAAAAGACTAGAGAAAAAATCTGAACAGTTCTTAGACTGCTTTATAAATGTTTTAAGTTCTTGCATCACCTTAAAGAAGTAAAAAATGAAAATCAGAGAGGTTGTATTATGGATGTAGTTTATCCAAGAAAGAAAAAACTCCCACTGATGGACCTACATTCAAAAAGTCTTCATCCTATATCAGAAGGTATAAGATGAATTGGGATAAATATACACTTAAATATTTTAAATTAAAAAGTTTAGAGTAGTTGTCATTTTAAAAAATTTTTTTTTTAATTTTTTGGGACGGAGTCTCACTGTGTCGCCCAGGCTGGAGTACAGTGGCACGATCTTGGCTCACTGCAAGCTCCGCCTTCCGGGTTCACGCCATTCTCCTGCCTCAGCCTCCCCAGTAGCTGGGACTACAGGCACCCGCCACCACGCCTGGCTTTTTTGTATTTTTAGTAGAGACGGGGTTTCACCCTGTTAGCCAGGATGGTCTCAATCTCCTGACCTTGTGATCCGCCCGCCTCAGTCTCCCAGAGTGCTGGGATTACAGGCATGAGCCACTGTGCCCGGCCGAGTAGTTGTCATTTTTTAAAAGCTTCCCTGGCTTAACTGACTGTGATTAGCCACCACTTTCTGGTCCAGACTGTACCAAGCAAGATAATTTTAATTCTAGTTAAAATTGTGCCAAAATATAATACTCCAATATCAATGTGACATATTTTGAACTCTGAAAGCATGAATTTGACACACTTTTAAGATGATAAATAAGCAATTAGTATAATAAAATTCAAACTCCTTTCTCCAGTTTTCCCTCCTACAACAACCCTTTCAACAGGCTGGACTCAGCTTCCCTACCCTCTCTCCAACACTCTGTCACTTGGCTTAGGCCCTGTCTTTCACCTAGTGGCCTCCTCTCAGTCTCTTCCTACACACAATCCACCTATACTTCATGCATCAAACACCACCT